TCTCGGGGGTCCCCAAACGGAGTGGTGACCACACCGTGCGATGAGCCGGTGGGGATCCGGGGTCACCGCACGGTTTTGGGACTCGGGTCGTTCTCCGAGGACGTCTCGGGCGACTGGGGCATCCGAGGTCGCAAAACCGTGCGGTGACGGACCGTGCGGCGAGGTCTTTTGGGTTTCCGAGGTCACCGCAATGTCTGTCACCGCACCGTTTCGGGACTCCAGAACTTTTGGCCAAGCCCGACGAGCAGGTGGCTCCGCCCCCCGCTGCGCGATCGTGCTCTGTCGGCAGTCAGATCGGGAGGACGCCCATGTGGCGTGGGGCGGCTTTCGGGTTCTGCAGCCTCCGAGGCGTCTCCTCGAGCCCGCACGGGAGTGTCGCGTGCGCGCCTCGGCACCTCTCGGGGGGCTCTCGGGCGCGGGATGGCCGAGAGGACAGTGCCGCCTACAGGCGATTCGGTGCGATTCGATTCGCCCGCTGGGGCCACCATTCAGGAGAGGAAAAACACACACACACACAGACACAATTAATCCTCGATTCCTCAGAAAATATAGGAGAATATGGGAAGTGGGGGGGAAGACAGAAACCCAGAAACTGTGGGAAACTATGGGGAATATTTTTATTAGTGTGTCTTTATTTGTCCGGCTCACCAGCATCGGCCAGGGCCAGCCGGAGCCGGGCCGACTCCAATTCGACTCGGGGCGGTTCGTTGGCCTGGCATCGCTCGGACGTGTGCAATTTTTTCCTTCGGCGAGGACAATCGAGGAGCATCCTTGATCATTTGGCGAAGAAAACCACGCACGAAACCGAAACAAACACAGGGAATGGACGTCCGAGCGATGGCGAGTTGGCGATCCGACCCATTTCCGATCCGATCCGATTTCGCGATTCGATCCAGCTCAGGCCTGCCCCCGACACGTCGGGGCGCCCAGGGCGGCGTCGCCCCCCCCCCCCCCCCCGCAGAAGAGCCGCCAAAGCGCCGCCGCCCAGTGCCGGGCCGTGCGCGGCCAATGGGCCCGTCTGACACGCGCGCTGCCCCGTACGGTGCAGTAGTTGCGCGTCGTGCCTGCGCCGACCGAGGATCCAGGGATTCGGTAGGAACTCGTAGGAGCTTCCTTGTGCCTTCTGGAATTCCGTCGCTGGAGTGCATCATGCGTGCGCTGGCATTTGGTAGTCCACGGGAAGGCGCCCGTTCAGCATTCACAAGAATTTGTTTCGCGTCGAGTAACGTCGATGAGCAACGATCAGGGTTGGTGATCGTCGATGCGCAAGAGCCAGATGGGAAGCTCCCAGGAGTTGCCGTAGAGTTATGATGCTCCAACCTACTGTAGCCTTGGCCACCAGGAAGAATTTCGAGCGCCAAACAAAGTACCGAAACTCTGGGGTTTTCACGTGTCGGGCCCTGGGAGACACTCGCCCGACACTGTTTCGGCACTCTTTGGACACTCTTCCGGGTGCGCGAGATTAGTTCTGGGATGCGCTCCTCAAGTGGGATGGGAACAACATACAACCGTAGAGAGGGCAGAGCGTGAAGAACGGCAAAACCAAGCCATACCACGCGCCTCCTCGTCAAGCGGCCTGACCAGTACAGGCTACAATTTGGCATCGTTTGGTATCTCTCGGAAGCGAGGGTGGTCAAAAGCGAGGTGGGTTTGTTTTCCCCCTAGGGGTTCAAGGTCGATGGGGCGTGGGAGGTCTTCACAGGTGTTCTGCCTCCAGAGGCCGGCCTCGGGCCCTCGGGACGCCAGCAGCCTAGCCAGGACGCACAACGACGCATGCTGGACCCAGGTAGTGCGGGCAATAGTTATATCCACATCCAGTGCGTCTTGGATTATTGGGCTCTCTTCCCCAGAAACCGTAGACGCACTGGATATGGATAACAATCTGGCCCCAAGAGGCTTGATTTTATCCATATTCAGTGCGCCTCGGCGTTGCGGCACCTCTTCCCAAAAAGTCCACGACGCTCTGGATATGGATATAAGTACTGCCCGCAGGTAGGGGGCCAGATGCGAACCCTGCCCCTACCCCCCACGATTTCTAAGGGGGGGGAGGGGGTCACTTCGTTCGGGAGCTCCCGAGCGAGGTGAGCCCCACCCTCCCCGTCCGAAATCGTGGGGGCAGGGGCAGGGTTCGTATCTGGCCCCCCACCTGGGAGGAGGGGTCCAGGGATTGGGTTTGAGCGGATTTGACTGTGGAAGGTTCGTGTCGTGTCGACGCGGATGGACCCGTGAGAGGAGTTTGAGCGGATTTTGACCACGGCGGTTTCGTGTCGTGTCGACGCGGCAGCGATCCCGCCGCGGGCGTTCAAGTTGAATGCCGCTAGTGGCCCAGAATCGGCCAACATGGGAGGGTCTGGCCCAGTCTGGCGATTGAAAAGCAGCCAATCGTTCAAGGTTGAACGATCCCAGCGGTGTCAAGTCTGAACAGGCAGCGAACTTGCCGTGGTATTTTCGCTTGTGTTCCGTCGCTTCGCTCTCTCCCCCGTCTGGACGAGGGCTTGGC